CAGTGTTTCTTTTCCTTTTTTCTTGGAGTATCGTGAATCCAAAATCGAAAGCATCTGTCCCCCCCTTTTTCTTTACGAAAGGGAATCGAGTACCAATCAGAACCGATAGAAAAGTTGATGAGAAGACACGGTTCGTTAGGTCGAACGCGATGGAAATGTCGCGCGATAGCTGATTTATTCGCGGTCGCGATTCCTATCGCCATTTACGCACAATGCTTGGCCAGTTTGTTCCCTGGCGTTATCGCGATTCCACCAATCTTCCCGAAATTCCAATTTTTCCCCGACCTCTCCACCATTTTTGGCGAAACAGCTTCGAATAATAAAATTCTAAATCGTCAACAAACTGTAGTCGATAGAAGTAACAAATAATATTAGGTGTACAGGTGTTCAGCCACATTCAATGGTTATTTTTAAAAGAAAGTAAATTGAATTGTTCGATCAAAGTATTCGCCGTTACATAATAGAATTATTATTGTGAAAACACATTTTATGGAAGTTCTCTCTTACACGTTGAATATCACTCAAAGTCAACTTTAAAAAATCCGTGTAATGTATAAACTTTTTTAAAGAACGTGAGAACAGTTTGAAGTAGTAGAGGAACACCTATGGTCAGACGGGCGACGAATTATCGTTGATTTCCACTTGCACTTCGCTAAAACAATCAACCTTTTGTTGACGAAATGACTGATGAAAGTGTACTAAAAAATCACTCTATTTTTAAATTTAATATATCGTGAATTAAATTCAGACGAGCGAAGCTTGAAATTTAGAAACGAATCTAACATTTTGTATTCGTCACTCGTGAATAAATTTGCCTAACTCGGGATGCTAATGGTCACCGGTTCGATCAATTGTATGAATAGGAAGGTCGACGTCGTATTATTGTTATCTTAACGATTTCTGTTTCGCCGCGGCCGGACGAGGGTTGAAACGGTCACCCACGTCCAGGCGTTCGAATGATCATTCTGATTCCGTTTCAATCAATTTCCACGCCCAAAAAGAGAGCCTCGTCATTTATCTTCGGTGTTGTTCGGTTTTTTCGACGCCTGAGAAATGACTAGAACCTGTCGTTATCGAGGCTGAGACTACTTGTTGAATATTTCTCTACTCGAATTTAAATACTCCACGAATTTAATACGAATTTAAAAAATAGCAGTTTTCGTCACTAAATCCTCATTGGGGAAATTTCCAGTGTACACTTATAAGTATTTTAATGCTTGATTGTTCGATGAATCGTTTAAAAAATAAATTTAAATGCTAACAACCAACTCTACGTTTCCCGAATTTGGAAATTTGGAAATTACTCCGCGAATTTAATACGATTTTTAAATAGCAGTTTTCGTCACTAAATCCTCATTGGGGAAATTTCCAGTGTACACTTATAAGTATTTTAATGCTTGATTGTTCGATGAATCGTTTAAAAAATAAATTTAAATGCTAACAACCAACTCTACGTTTCCCGAATTTGGAAATTTTCACGACGTCATGGATTTGATATGAGATTAAAAATATCTTATTTGTTAGACAGAGTTTAATACTCGCGGTTTTGGCGCTGTGCGTCTATTGGCGCGTCACGTGCCCCCTCTGGTGGCAAGAACCAATCACGCGTTTCTTCTCCAGTCGCCTGTACGCGTCCTTTCTAACCTCTCCGTGCCAGAATCTTGTGCAGTGTACACGCGTCGCGTTGTGATACGTTCAAATCTATATTTCTCTCATTAATAAATACTATGCTAATTGTTCGTGTGTTCTGGTGTTTATTTAAAATGGACCTAGCACCGTATAACATTATTCGTGTTGTAATCGAAATTAATAATCAAGGGTTAGGAGAACTATGAAAAGTTTTTCTTTATCCAAGGAGTGAGCAGGTGGTTGTTTGAGAAACACTGCCCCGGCGAGGCAGAGTTATCGGAAAAACGTCTTCGAGGCCACTATCTGTTCCAAGGTTACTATCACGTCAATGGTTACTATCTCCTCGGGGTCACTGGCTCTCCAAGAATTGCGGGAGACGCTTTAGCGATCGTTGTTACAGCGACAAAACACAAGGATCCGTTCCTCCATTGTAAATTCTGCGTCCTTATTTTTAACGTCAAAGTGAAATACTGAATTGCTCCCAAGAGGTTATAAATTAATGTGAAAAAGAATTGGCATAAACTCGCGTTGGGGGCTTCTTAGAGTTACGTTTAACATGTTTTTAGTAATAATTTCTTTTTCCAAGTTTTATATGAGTCTACTCGTATTTACTTTTTCACCGTAATATTGTGGACGATTCTACGGTGTTTACTTTTATTATTTTAAACAATTTTTGTTTCGATAATTTTTATGTGTCTTCTGTAATTTAAGAGTTATATAACCACGAATAAAATAAACGATTTCTCTCTCTCTCTTGAAACAGAGATGCACGAAGAAATGCAGCCTAGTTTGTCTTGTAAGGTAATCGACCCCTGCAATATCGATAACTGCGATACCGACTTGGTATGGAAGGATCTGGAAGTAGAGCGAAGTATCGATTCGATGGATCCTTCCAGAGCGTGAGAGAGTAAGCACATGTAGAAACACTAACAATTGTTTATTGTTAATTTAAGTGTTGTACTGTTTATATTTTTCTAATGGCGAATAGACAAACTGTGGTTTCGTTATTTCTCTATATTATTTATCCTAAACGGAAGAACCGTTGAATAAAATGTACAACAGTTTTTTAGGTTAGTTCGATAACAATTTAGAGTAGAATTTATTAGATGGTTTTTGCTAGAGTAAAATTGTAAAAAAAAGTCTAAATTCGCGTCTGCCGATACAGACGCCTATCAGTCTCCCGATACGCGTCGACGACGATGCTCGACCAATGAGGGCGTTAATTGGCAATAACAGCCGGAGCTCAATTAAACGCTTCCTCCTATCGCCGCGATTCTCTTCTTCTCGCGCCACTCCGTGGATCGCACGCCCGACAAAATGGCGGCCCATAAGGCCTCTTTATTTTTCACGATCCCGGAGATGCTTAATCGTTCGCATCTGACCTCGACGAATCGAGTACAGATTAAGTCCAGCACCGTTTGAAATATTTATTATTCAACCGCACAGAAATGTATTGTTTTTTCGAGTATTCGTGCATTAAAATATTATTTTAATAATTATATTCGAAAAAGAATACAATTCAGTTATTTACATCAAATCACGTCGAATTAAAATTCGACTCGTCGAAAATGTAAGGTTACTAAATCCGAGATTCGCCCTGTATACAGGGTGTTCGGCCACCCTTGGGAAAAATTTTAAATTCAAAAATTTCAAATCGTTCTGGAAAAATTAGTTTCGGTTGCGGGGGTCAATTACAATCATTTTTGGTAAATACACATACCTCTGAAATCCTATCCACTTACGAGAAAAAAAATCGGTTAGGTGCTGAAATTTTTTGGCGATAAAAAAATTTTTTAAATCGTTCTGAAAAAATTATTTTCGGTTGCGGGGGTAAATTACAATCATTTTTGCTGAATAGACATACCCCCGAAATCCTGCGCATTTTCGAGAAAAAAATTCAGTACGGGCGGAACTTTAAACGTTAATAACTTTTTAACAAAGCCTCCATCAACAAATTGGTATTCTTGATTTTCGTCTTATTTTGGCCTCTAGAGTACCCCATTAAAATTTTTCCCATGGTTGGCCGAACACCCTGTACATTCAAAAACTAAATGAAAATAAGATACGTTAGTGTAGATTACAATTGTGTTACGATGTATCTCATAACATTTCGCTAGAATTACGATGATTGCTTCGATAGTTGTCAAATTATCTTTTCCGCTCCCATTCTCGAATTGGAATATTACGCAACCAATATAATACGTGTAAACTCGAATTCCACCATTTTGGATTATCACCGTTGCATTCGACCAGCCTACGTCATGCACCCTATGTTAAAGCTCTTCGCAATAGTGTCGTTATCGATTAAGTATTTACCGTACCAGTTGCACAAACGAAGGTTCTGACTTATTAATTGTTGCACGCTTTTTAGCCGGAGTTGCTATTGACGATGAACGTTTCCGACGGAACGCTCGGTACGACTCGTTTCATTTAACTAAAAGGCCTGCTTTTAGCATTTTTACGATTCTTCTATATTTGCATAAACTCTTTTTACCGAGTATCTGTGTTTTTTCGGGATCAATGGCCATGGCTGAAGAGCCTGGAACGCGATGCTCGTTTCTTCGAACGTTTGCAAACCTGTTTCAAGCAGCTTAACCTTTTGTCGGTACGAAAGTAGAGCTGGAACAAATCCGCTTCTAAATCCCATTCCCGTCTATGTCGCGTTTTTCGCTCTTTGACCCGCGAACGACCCATAAACCCTCCCTCTCTTCGCGCTAAATCTTGAAACGCACAATAGTCTCGCGTCACAGTATTCCCGTACGAAATTCACGCGGACAAATTTATTTTCTTTTGCGTCCAAATAGATACCCGGACTAATTGTTTTCACAAAACACGCCGCGCTTTCGACGATTCCGAAATAATAACTTCTTTATTTTCTGTCGATTTGAAACGGGTATTTGATTTTTGAGATGTGAGAGTGCAAATAAGAAACTGACCAAAGCAGATATCACAGACGTGTGGCGACGTTTCCCGTACTCGTCACCAGAGGGCTACGCTCTTGTGTGTTTCCTCGCAAGCGCTTGACCCTTTGACTGCCCACGTCGAAATCACATGTTTTGCAGGATGCCACGTACATGCACCGCTGGATGCAAGATTTCATAGAAATTAATCTTTTATTTTCCATGTTCTAATAGAAATTTTTAATTGCTCAATGGGGCACTCATTATTTCAAAGTATTTTCTAATTACCGATTACGTTCAAAATGTACTAATTTTCCGTTAATGCGTTAATTTTCATTCAACTCTTACAATTGTAAGTAATTGTATATGACCAACGTAGCAGTCGAAGTGTTAACTGTCTCCTCACTGAAGCGTGAACGTGTTCGAACGCTTCATCTTGAGTTCCTCCGGTAACAGTTTGATTAATTTCAGGCAATGTCGGACGAGGAGAGGGAGGAGGAGAAGCCGTTCGCGGTGGAGAGGGCGAAAACGGGTCGAGCGAAATGCAAAAAGTGCAAGTGTCCCATCGAGAAGGACGCCGTGAGGATCGCGAAGCTGATGTCGAATCCGTTCGGGGACGGGAAAATGAAGGCTTGGCACCATTTAACCTGCCTGTTCGAAGTGTTTGCGAGACAGAGAGCCACCACGAAGAGAATAGACAACCCCGAGGAGGATATAAGCGGCTGGGACGACCTCCCCGACGAGGACAAGAACGTCATCCGACAGAAGATCGAGGATTTCGAGAATTCCTGTGAGCACGATATTCAATTCTCCCGCGTCGCTTCTTCCGCGCAGGGGCAAAGATGGCGTCCTCGTCTGGGTGATCTCGACGCCTGAGAACACTCATTCTTTACGCTTCTGCGAACAAGCTACGTAGGAAATCGAGAGTTCAAACGCTTCGAGATCAGACTTGGAATTTGTTTATATCCTCAATATACGGTACAGTTATCGTTCAAGAAATTATAAAAAGAATTTCGAATCGCCATAACCCGGGGCTAATATTGAAATCGTTGGAGCCAATTTTTTTAAAAATTATTCGACGCTGTTCTTATTATATTTCTCCAATTCTTGATCTTGAAAACTATTGCCAAATATAAACAGAAATATATGGAATAAACATCGAAAGAAATAGACGTATTTCCAGTTTACTTTTGCACGAAGAATTGTCTCAGAATTTTACCCGAAATCAGAAAATAATTTTAAAAAAATATCAAACGTTTTTAATGGAGCGGGACATCAACGACGTTAATCTAATTTTATCTGGACGATTCCAGGGATTCATACGGTTCGCGATGTTATCGTGCGCGAACGTTGTTGGCACAATCGGTACCAATCGCAGGGTTTACGCTCGCGTGCCGCCACGATAAAGAATATTCGAGTAATTCCTGACAACGCGCGGAACGGCCGCTGCTCGTCTCCGTTTCCTTATCGCGACGCGGCAGAGACGAGCGGAGGCGTTTTAATTGCCGTTCAATTAAATCTGTGGAATGTACAAATTGTACCCCATAAATCATCTTTGCGAGCAATATCGCCTATTAGAGCGATCCGTCGATGATTTACGTCGCGTTAAACGCCTCTTGTTCGCTATTAACGCGGCCGTAAAAGATTATCGGGAATCGCGCGCGGAGATTATACCTTCTCGCTGTCTCTTCCTCCATAGTTCCCGACTAATTGTCAGATTTTCTAGTCGAAAGGATCTCAAGGATTTCCATTCTCATCGATCCCCCGTCGTTACGACCTTCCAAGTACATTGTTTCGACGAATTTCCTGGGAAAATATCAGAAAACACCCCGGGGACCATTTGCGCGGGAAATTCAAATCGCAGAGTCGAAGTCGCGAGCAACGAAATTAATTTTGTTGAGGCTTGTTCCTATCTTGCAATATTATCAAATGCAGTGACAATTAAGTGTTTCGTATTTCTTTCAGCCCCGTTTAAGACTCCCAAAGCGAAGAAGCCAGACTCCGTGTCACCGAGGAAACGCAAAGAAGCTCCGAAAAATACCATCCCCTCCGCCGGCAAAAAGCCAAAGAAAACGAAAAAGGAAAGCTCCGCGTCTTCCAACGAAGATCTGCCGGGTACTTCGAGTTCGAAGAGGACGGTCTCGAGCAAAGACGACTCGTTTTCGGAGTTTCAACGAGTCTGCAACGACGTGGCGAACGTCGACGCCTACACCGAGAAGACGGCCATTGTGAAAAGGATGCTGACCAAAGGATCCGACGGTGGTGAGTCTTCCTTTCAATTTTGTCGATACATTTCAGAATAACGTTTACCGTGCAACGTGGTTACGCGAAGTGTAGTGCTCGTAGAGGGCGACACTGGAGCAGAGGGCGAACCACGGTGGAATTTGAAATTAATAAATAGTAAAAGTTCTACGACGAACGAGCTGGATGTAAGCAAGTTTGGTGTTCTTTGTTCTTTGTTCGACTTCCTTCGGTGCTGGATCAACGGTTCAAAGTCATTCGCCGATCGAATTGCGTCGCGACTGGTCGGTTGGGCGTCGATAAATCAGAAGCGGCGCGCGCCGAGCGCCGACCGAATTTCGTAACGTTCTCAAGGGGTCAAGGTTTTGGCGGTCGCGCGTCTCGTAAATTAGCAGTCGAAATACGCTTCGCGCGAGCGAGACCGTCGATCGAATCGACAATCAGCTCCAACCGGCGATCTCCTTCGAACTCCGATGCACCATTGAAATCCCAGCGAGAAACTCGTAAACACCGTTAGTTTATTAAACAAAAATATTGCAACGGCGCTTTCCCGATGTTGCATGCACTCAGAGTTCTCTCATTTAACCCTAATTAATTCTCTCAATTTGACATACAAAATCCACAAAAAATCACAAACACACGGACACAAATGGTAATCTTCTTATTTAACCCCTACTAATTCCCTTATTTTTCGTTATATTTTGCCATAGGAACAATAAAGTCCACGAAAGATCACAAACACACGGACACACATGGTAATAGTTTTCTTATTTAACCCCTACTAATTCCCTTATTTTTCGTTATATTTTGCCATAGAAACAATAAAGTCTACGAAAAATCACAAACACACATGGTAATAGTTATCTCATTTAACCCCTACTAATTCCCTTATTTTTCGTTATATTTTGCCATAGAAACAATAAAGTCCACGAAAGATCATAAACACACGAACATACATGGTAATAGTCTTCTTATTTTACCCCTACTAATTCCCTTATTTTTCGTTATATTTTGCCATAGAAACAATAAAGTCCACGAAAGATCATAAACACACGAACATACATGGTAATAGTCTTCTTATTTTACCCCTACTAATTCCCTTATTTTTCGTTATATTTTGCCATAGAAACAATAAAGTCCACGAAAGATCACAAACACACGAACATACATGGTAATAGTCTTCTTATTTAACCCCTACTAATTCCCTTATTTTTCGTTATATTTTACCATAGAAACAATAAAGTCCACGAAAGATCATAAACACACGAACACACATGGTAATAGTTATCTCATTTAACCTCTACTAATTCCCTTATTTTTCGTTATATTTTGCCATATAAACAATAAAGTCCACGAAAGATCACAAACACACGGACACACATGGTAATAGTCTTCTTATTTAACCCCTACTAATTCCCTTATTTTTCGTTATATTTTGCCATATAAACAATAAAGTCCACGAAAGATCACAAACACACGGACACACATGGTAATAGTCTTCTTATTTAACCCCTACTAATTCCCTTATTTTTCGTTATATTTTGCCATAGAAACAATAAAGTCTACGAAAGATCACAAACACACGGACACACATGGTAATAGTTATCTTATTTTACCCCTATTAATTCCCTTATTTTTCGTTATATTTTGCCATAGAAACAAGAAAGTCTACGAAAGATCACAAACACACGGACACACATGGTAATAGTTATCTTATTTTACCCCTATTAATTCCCTTATTTTTCGTTATATTTTGCCATAGAAACAAGAAAGTCCACGAAAGATCACAAACACACGAACATACATGGTAATAGTCTTCTTATTTAACCCCTACTAATTCCCTTATTTTTCGTTATATTTTGCCATATAAACAATAAAGTCCACGAAAGATCGCAAACACACAGACACAAACGACGGTAGTTCTCTTATTTAACTCCTACAGATTCTGTTATTTCGCCATATAGGATCCACAAGACATCACAAACACACAGACGCATACGGTAGTTGGTGAAGGAGAATGACCTTAGCTCTAACCATAACACGAACTTCGAACGAAATCCGACCTTTGCACTAGAAAGTACGGTGCACCCATCGTGTTTTGATGCTGTTGCGAAGATTGCGTGCAATAGGGGGGCTTGGTGACTCGGGTTCGAGCGACAGTAAACGCGTGTCGTTCGTCCTCATTTCGTTTCACCGTGCAAGATCGAAACCACCGGTGACAATTTTAATAATTCACGGTGTCCACGTTGTTCGATCTCTTCGTTTTCGCGCGGGGATCGGGGATCATCGACGCGACGGGCGCCATCTTCAACGTCCCCGGTCGGTGCAGAGATCTACGTCGCGTGACCAGGGAAACGACGATCGTAATCGAGTACATCTGCACGGAGACGTGCGCGCGATAACTCCGGAAAAGATTATCGATGTTTTGGTGACCTTGATAAGCGAAAACGCGCGAACAAAATGTGACGAAATCGGTCGCGCTAAATTGGACAACGGTGTTGCGGCACCGATGTTTACACCCGCGACGTGTCCCTTGATAAATTAATATCTCGACGGCCAGTCGACGATACGGCGTAACGACATGTTACATAAAAATTGTTTACGTTCGGTGTGACCGTACTCGAGTGAAAATTATCGATGACTAAGATTTGAGAATGCCTGGCAACTCGGTGCAAAATTCTTCCCATCGATTTGGATCGAACCTTTTTCTAATGAAAAAAAGAAGCAAAACAAAAGGTCACATAGACAGAATTTTTTTAACCGACTTTTTTTCTTTGAGGAATCTCGTTTCGGGCGACGTCTTCGTTACGCTCGTGGTCGTATCTGTCCCAAAGTTAGAACTCACGCTGACGTAGCCGTTAGTCCTATCAATGGGCTATCGTCCACACTTTCCGCGTAAACACACTCGCGTTTTCCACGCCCCCTTGCCGCCCAGCCCCCTCCCGCCCCTCGACAATAATTGTCCCCCCGTTCCGTGTTCTTGTTTCTGCCCCTCCTCTCTTTTCTACGTCGTTTCTTTCTGGCCTCCTTGTCTATTCGTTGGGGTCGGACAAATACGATATCCGAAATCGGATACAAGGAAACCATTAATCAATCGGCCGTGCAGATTCCTGCTGCTACGCGCGGCTGGCAAGTGGAAGATTTTTTACGGGGTTATCGGTGACTCCCTGTCGTTGCGAATTCCCAGAGTTAACGTATGCAGAGACGCGCCGAATCGCCGTCTCTGCAAGGTGGGCCAACGTTCGCAAAAAATATTACGAAACAATCAATTACGGTGTATTTGTTCGTACCAAAGAAATTAAAACGAGAGATATACTCGAAGAAACCAATGTTTATTCGTTCCCTTATACAAAGCTACGGTTTATTTTGTGACATTTTTATCATTTTCATTGGAAATTACGAATCATTTTGACCACGTCTGGTAGTACTAGCGTTAACTTGCGATTGATCGAACCTGCGAAATTTTTTACGAGGCCACGATTTCAGTTTTCGACGCTTGGAAACTGTGCAACCCAAGGTAAGCAAGAATCATCTAGATTTTTAAAGGTACGTCGAGATTTTTCAGATAATCTTCGAGACTTCAAGAAGACTGAAGACTTGATGATGAAGATTGTAAATAAAGTCCATCGATGCAAGACATTCCTGAATTACAAAAATTCACAAAACGATTCCTCGAGGTATTTGAGATACATTAAGTCTTTCAAGAGTCATCGAGAGCCACGAAGACGGTCAGTATCGAATATTAGTATTGTCAAGATATTAAAGCTACTTATGAACGAACGAACAACACATCATTGAAAGAACATGACACAAAAGCGTTAATTCTGCTAAGATCTCGAACAAAAAAACACGAAAACGTCCATTACTAACGAAAGAAAGAAACAAACAAGCAAACGAAAGAAAGAGGAGGAGAAGAGAAAGCTACTCATGTTTCATCCCGATTTTGAGATCGCGTCGATGCGATGATTTCATGATTTCCTAAGACGTCCACGCGTCCAGTCCCGATCGATACTCGAGGCAATTCGAAACTTTCCAATCAGTTTTCGTGACCGAGATTCAAACCGCGTCGATCGGCGATGATCCGACCGCGCGCGAAATTGTTTTTGCAGAAACCACGAGTTAACTTCTGACACGGCACAGATTGCGGTTCGTTGATTTCTTCGTCTCGTCACGTACACTTGACCCACTGTTCTCCCGGGTCTATCGGCGGGAAATTTTCCGCTTCGAAAGGAGCCGTTTATCAGACAGCGCGCCGTGTCCTTCGAGGCGTTCCTCGAGGAGAATTTGTTCGGGGATCTTTTCAGGGAAAACGATGCTATCCCAACGAAGGTGTCTATCAGAGTTCTCGAAACCCTTGCACGCGAAAAGGTCAGTCAGAATTGGCATAGCAAGAGTTTAAAACGTTTCAAGATAGTTCGAACGCAAAAGGAAAATATTAAATGAAAATCTGAACGTGATACAATATTTATAGATTAATTATTGAACCAAATATAATAGGGTTAGGTCTGGGTTAGGATAAAGAAAAATATTAAATGAAAATCTGTCGACATGTGTGATACAATGTTTTTAGATCAATTGTTGAACCAAACCCGATATAACAGGGTTTCGATCGACTGGTCTACAAATAAAAGTTTTCAAATAAACAAGCACGAGATAATAATAATGAATAGTAACGATGACTTTCGCTTATGGTAGAATCACAGATGATACGGCGCTTCAATGACACCGACGATACAGACAATGAGTCAGTTAAATCACGGTCCGCTTTGTTACAAATACAATTGATAGTCGTGCGAACTTCAAACAGATAAATAGATTTGTCCATCGGTATCTACTCAAATTTAGCTTTTTAATCCCCATTGTTGCATTTATGGAGAATCCAGGTGCCTCGAATGCATCGTTGGAAGAGAATGTCACTGAAAAAACAACCCCCTAAGTCCATAGACGCTAGCCTTCCTAGATTGTTACCAATAATCATAGAACTGATGATAAACACAAAAATGTTAACACTATCGTCCGTCGATCTAATAAACGAAATCCCTAATCTTCCGTTTAATGGGATTGGGGATCGCTTCTCATCCCTGTCGGACTCCACCATATAATTGTCCGTCGTTGCGCGCGCAGTTTCCGGTCACATTCTCTCCCTTCGATTCTATACACGCGAAACTATAGACAGAATAGCTCGATTCGAGCGTAGCAACGTTCGGATAACTGCAAGACACTTTCGATCGGATAACTGATCGATGGCCGTCCCTACTACCGAGAGAGGACTTCGACTCAAATAAGAGTGACACAAAGTACATAAGAATACAAAGATAAAACTTTTCTTTTCCAATGAAACTTCCACCAACGTGTTCGTGAGGTTCTCCAAATTAAAATGAGACCAAACACGATATAATTTGGATAACATTCGCTTACCAATATTAATTGTTTATTGTCACTCGTTAATATGCAAATGATACAAATTTTATCGATTTTTTATCGACCTTGCAAATACGTTGCTAGAGATTGAATAAAAGAAGTTTCACGGAGACCAAAAATTCCCCATGCTTTCGTAACTGCAAGGCTTCGAGTCATGCGTCCCTTTCAGTTATCCGAGTCGTTCCCGTAATTTTGCTCTAACCTATCGCACGATCCTGTGAACAGCTGTGTTATACTCACTGTGATCTGAAGTCTGTTCCCGTTGATTAATTCCCTTGCTCCTTGCAGAAATTCCAGACGATTAGCAAACACTTGAACAGAGGATACCCCTTGCGTCCTTCTCCTATTCGCTCTCGATCGACGCGCCCTTTTCAAACGAGTCGAGTCAAGTGTCCCGCGGTTTTCACCGCCCCCGTCGCTTCCGGTTTCACTCTTTCACCACTAAAACGGCGTTGTTTCCCCGCTCGGTCCAGAGATCGTTGGATCCTCCTACGTCTAATCGTGGCTCGATCGTTTTCTTTATCGGTCAGAGACTCGTGCTTCCGCGATGCTTAATGGTTTACGTACGTTGCACGCGACACATTCACCGTTTCGCGACTATTGGTCCCCGGGGGCTGTGCTCCGGGTGTCTTATAAGCTTAGCCGTCCCCACCTAATCAAGTCACGGTTTGTAAACGCGAGATGTCGAGCCCCTTCTCGTGCAGCCAGCTTGGCTCCAGACACTTGACCATTCTTCTTTCCCTCTTTCTCCACGCGCCTCCACCCTACCACTCCGTTCCCCGGTGCTGTTATCGTCCCGCGTCTCCCCCCCCGCCGCGTCCGTCAACCACCCCCCTCCCCTCCCACTCCGTTTCGCGACCTCATCGCGGCCGTACCTCTCTCCTCCTTCTAATTCCGCTTCTTCTTCTTCGCGTGGACGCATCGTCGCTCGGTCTTTCCGCGCGCCAATTTTTCCGCCAATCGACGTCGCGTCTCCCGTCGCCGATCCCCCTCGATTCGGCGCCCGCTATTTGCCTCGATATCTGCGTCGCCCTTTAGAAACTTAGCGACGTTTTCCAGGGAAAAATCCTTTCGCATCGATATCAAAGGACAATGGGCAGTGTAGGCGTGCTTTACCAGTTGGAAATGAGCGAGGAAGGTAGAAAAGGCTTCCTTGATCGAGCGCTTGTGAGAGAGAGCGTAGGCCCCCTGTGGCGAGTGCGTGAGGTAACGCCACGATAGAAATATTAGTCAGTTTTGGAACTAGTTGATTTTCACTAGGACGCTGAAGCAAATTGAACTTGTTCCATTTAAAATTCCATTTTATAGAGGGCGCTGTCGAATCGTATTCTTACAAGGAAGGTTTTTTAGGTTCTGAATTTTGGATATGTTTTAAAGAACCGAAAAATAAGATTTTTTTTTTATATCGGCCCGTTTTCATATTTAGGGGGTGAAACGACCCCCTAATGTTTCAGCTACAATAGGTTATCTCAAAAACTATCATAGATAGAAGAAAACTTCTTAAGGAAATGTTTCATGGTTTTTTATGTACATATAAATGCTGGTCATCAATTTGTAAAAAATAATTTGTTTATAACATTATTTTAAAAGAAATCACAATTTACATAGTAACTAGACTGCGGATCTTCATGCAAATTCATATTTTTATTAATAAAATTAATGAAATTGGAGCTTTGTAGAGGATTGTCTCAACCCCCAGATATAATAATTCGTACCTTACTTTAAGTATTTCTTATATTCTTGTATATGAATTAAATTCTGTAGTCTTTAGAAAATTAAAATTTCCCAGAAATGCATAAACATCCGCAGTCTAATAATAACAAAAAAGAACACAATTTCTTTTCTGAATCCATTGATATATCACATAGTATGTTTGCCTCTCACAATTTTGCGTATTTCAATATTATATATCTGTTGCACACAAACGTGGCGATCATACCAGATGTAATGTAGGGTTAATGTTCATTATAATATCTGGTGTTTAGTATGTATACCAGGCACTAGTAAAGTTATTTACAGCTTACAATATTAATAAAAATTACTTTAGTATTTACATATTAATATGCGATACATACATATGGTAAGGAATATAATTAATATAAATTAATTTGCGGTACTACTAACATGATTGGTGCAATTATATTTCAAATGTATGTATACATAGTATAAATTTATCACCTGAATTTTTTACGTAATGTATGAAGTTTATAAAATGATTCACTTAATATTCAAATTTGTCGCAGAAGTGATATTCATGAAAAAATGTTTTAAACAAAATGCTTCTTTACGCCAAGAACATACTATGTGATATATCAATGGATTCGGAAAAGAAATTGTGTTCTTTTTTGTTATTATGTAAATTGTGATTTCTTTTAAAATAATGTTATAAACAAATTATTTTTTACAAAATTGATGAACATACTATGTGATATATCAATGGATTCAGAAAAGAAATTGTGTTCTTTTTTGTTATAAACAAATTAATTTTTACAAAATTGATGACCAGTATTTATATGTACATAAAAAACCGTGAAACATTTCCTTAAGAAGTTTTCTTCTATCTATGATAGTTTTTGAGATAGTCTATTGTATAATCTGAATCTTTAGGGGGTCGTTTCACACAAAAATACGTATATCTTATTTTTTGGTTCTTTAAAACATATCTAAAATTCAGAGCAATCGGAGGCGGACACCTAAGAAACCTTCGAAAATGTAAAACTCGGAACAGATTTCGAAGGTGTCTCGTCAGGCTTCTGAGATCTTCGATTATGAATCGATCCACTACAATGACGAAAATCTCCTATGGGTCTCGATTACCTCCGGGTTTAAAAAGAAATTCGTTCTCTTTCTCTTTCGCTGGTTTCTAACGAGGAAAAAGTAATCTCGCGACGGCGCCGAAGATTAATAAAGATAGACCGTTTATCGGTTCGCAGGCGTGACCGAAACCGAGCATTGAATCGTTCGTGATGTCTAAAATCGCCGAAAAGTCACTTATTATCGTCGTTGCTCGGATCAATCATCCAAATTGTTCAGATCGTTTTATTTCCGATACGGTGCAATATATTCGTAACCTGTTTTATTGATTCGATATCTCTCGGTTGTTGTGAACTAAAAAACATTAGTTCTCATCGTCTATAGGACTATGTACCACTGTTAGGGGATGCATCAGCTTGGAATATAACTAGATTTCTTTATCATTACGATGGATCTACCAGATTTATCGAAGTCTAGTCTGAGAAAATTTCCTTTTGGGCCATTTTCGCGCAGAAGCTTAATGAATACAGTTGCACTATAGTCGGCTCTTGTAACTGAAAGGTTAACCCGTTCGCTACTACGCATCTCGTATATGAAATGCGTCGATTATCGCGTGTCAGCGATGTCACACACGCGTGACTATATTTAGTTCCTATAAACAAATGTAGCGAGTCAAGTGTCGTTATTTCAAACAATTACAATGTAGCGTGGTCTGAGGATGCACGGTTTCTGTGTCGAACGTTGGCAGTTGACGTACCTGTGAATTTCACAAAAATATTCTCCGAATGCACGATGCTTTCAAGATTTTGATCTACAAAAAATCTACTTTTTTTTTCAAATTAGAAAGAGTCGTTTCCCGCCATATTTCGAAATATTCTGCAACGTTTGAGCACCACTGCAGAGGATGATGTAGCAAAATTCACCGTGCTATTTGCCCCGTTTGCTTTGTAATATCAATTCGATACACGATAATTAAAAAACCTTTACCCTACCAACGAGATTGTTATTGTATCGACGAACGTAATATTATTCGATGTTGTCATTTCCCAGGAAGATCGCGTTCGATGACGTGCTACATAGATCAGAGTCACACAAATATTATTGTTTTTAGGTAGTTTCCAAAGTGATGTAACTCTGTTCGCGATAAAAATAGAACTGGGGCTGCACGTTCAATTTACGAACCGATCATATACCTAAATCAATCGACTCTACGAGCAGCGCTCAAATAATTCAATTCTCAAGCAATTTCGGTATTTGAATATTCCAATGAAATTAAAATTAAAAATAAACGTTCGTTTACTTTATAAAAGGGCTACGGTGAATCTGCAAAAATCCAGTCGCGTTTAAAAACAATTTCCATTACAATTTTGACCTCTTTCGATAGTTTTAAAATATTCTGCTCCTCGTTGAAAGTGTTCGAAGACCCCCTGATCCGAACCCTGATCGAAAATCGTTATGCGGCTCACGAGTGGGCGCGCGAACAGATTTAAAAAGCCGTCGCGACGGCGCTGGACGTCGGTTGCGCAACGTACCACTTGCCAAACTCGACGCGGGCGAAACGATTGACCCATGTCTCGTGAAATCATCCTCCGCGAGATACGCCTTCGTCCAATCGTCGCCTCACATTGCGATGACATTGGTAGATTAACCGGGGATGGGCAAAATTTTATTCGGATAATTAGGTGACACCCAAAAAGAAAGAAAAAAATAGAGTGAGTTCTTCGGGACGTTTATTCAATTAAACGAAGATAACTTTTTATACGCTCCGCCACGAAATAGAATTCATTCTACAACGTAGACGCCAAGTCTTCGGTGAACGAGCCACCGATAACAACTCGTTTATCCTTTATTCGTTGTTCGAAATTTTTACGTTCGATCTCTTCGATCTTTTTAGTATTATTGTAGAAATTTTACCGTTTCCCTGCAGTTTCGAACGGCGGTTAGCGGATTTTTAATCCGAGTAGCCGAGCGCGCGCATGCGCATGCGCAGTCGCGCGACCGTTCGATATCAAAATGGCGCCTGGCGTTACGAACGGTAAACTTTAACTGTTTGTATCTCGAAAACGGTGCCTCGAATAACGAAACAGCTAAGGACTTTTTGATTTGTTTTCGCGCAAGGAATTTTATTATTACCATTTAAATTGGAAAGCAAGTCTCAATAAACAGAAATTTATTAATAGTTCGTTCCAGAGAATGCCTCTGCTACACTAAATGATACCTGAGGTATCGAATCATGCTTACCCCTCGTATATATTTTTATAGTCGGATAAATAAAGGACGCAATCGGCAGATTACGTCTGTCTAAAACTTAACGAGATTGTACTCGTTTCTCGAGAACTGGCAACATCGTGTAAACACAAAGACACAAGTTAAGGCGCACATCCCTACTCTACCTTCAGTGGTGGTTTCAGCTTGATAACGTTAACACGTGCGATTTCACGAGCCGTGTGCGAGTATTAGTGACCCGCCACGAAAATGGATCAACGATATATCGAGCAACGTTATGCAATTGTATTTTTGTGCGACTCGAAGCATTCGACAAATTGAAACGAGTTTATGGGGATCCCCTCCAGGGCAAACGTTCACTGACACAATAAACCTGTAATATCGAACAGAGACAATCACACAGTGACCTTTAACAAAATTAAACCTTGATTTGTAAGGCTAGATCGATAATTTATTTCTTTTTATTTGGTGAATAGAGTCATCGAATAAAATTTTTTTTAAACTCTTTGTCAAAGAAAGTGTTTCAATAATGTTTAACATTGTAGATATCGAGCGTCGGTTGGTTCTTCCAAAAATTATTAAAAATATGTGAAAAATGGCGGTTGGAGAATGTATAGTCTTTGGTCACCCGTTATCGAGCCATTT